TCAATTCTACATGTCAAGTGTGTTTTGTTTTGTTTTGTTTGTCATTCATGGGGCTTGAACTCTAATCTTGGGCACTGCTGTTCCTGAGTTCTTCAGCTCAAAGCTAGGCTCTACCACTTGAGCCACAGTGCCACTTCCAATTTTCTGGTGGAAGATAAAAGTCTCATGGGCTTTCCTGCCCAGGCTGGCTTTGAGCCACAATCCTCAGATCCTAGCCTCCTGAGTAGCTATGATTTCAGGCGTGAGTCACCGGCACCCAGCTCCATGTGTCAGTTTATGTGTACAATGCAACTTGATCAATGTCATACCTACCATTGTTCTTCCCCATGTCTCCCAACCCCATTCATCCCCTCAATTTACCTGGTTCCATTTCACATATATACATGGACTGTTATGACTGTATCCACCAATCTCTCTAAATGCATGTGTACAAATATACATACATATTAAACAGGTAGATAGATAATCAAATTAAAATGTGGTCTCAAGGGGTCAAATGCGTGGTTCCATGAGAGGGTAGAAAGGTAGGAGTGGATAAGGTTAAGCAAAGGAGAATGAATAGTGTTGAGTAGGGTCAATGGGCACGCGGCAGCAGATGGAACGCTAGCGCTTCACCTCCCAGCCTCTCTCTAACTCTGGCTCTGGTTTGTTACCTGCATTGGGAGGATGTCAGGAGCCCACATGTGATGAGGAGGCCATTTTTACTGCTGCTGGTTAGCAAGGTCACAGAGACAGGGTATTTCTATAGCTGTAGTGCCCCCTCTTTCTGTAACTGAGGTTTGAACTCAGGGCCTCACACACGTTACATAGGCACTCCCCTACTAGCCACTCCCCCAGCCATTTCTGCATTATTTTCAAGATAGGCTGTGCATGCCTCAGCCAAGACAATGATTCTCTTTTTGTCACTGGGAAGGCAGGCGCCCACCACCACATCCAGCTGTTGGCTGAGGTGGAATCTCATGAACTTTCCTACTGAGACTGGTCTCTAATCACAATCCTCCAATCTCTCCCAAGTAGCTAGGATTACAGGCTTGAGCTACCACTTTCAGCTCGGTGACTACTCCTGCTCTTTGTGGAAGTAAAAGCAAATCCAACAGTATTGGCAAGAACCTTCTGATCCTGCCTTCCTGGCATCAGATCAAAGTCCTTCTAGCAGTTTCCTGAACTCTTGACTCTCCAAAGGTAGAGGCCACCCTGGCTGGTCCATGCTACAGTGAATGGCAGTCATTCAGGAAGGCCCAGCCTGAATCCTGCTTCTCCAGCCTTCCAGTAGTTTTGGAAGCACCTAATTCCCCTGATTAAGTCCCTTTCTTAATTGAAATTAAATATCCATATTTCTTTTTCTTCTTTTGTACTGAATCTTGGCTAATTAGAATAAAAATAAGGGAACCTTATAGTTGAGGAAGAATGATTCCACTAATTTTTCTGTTTGAAATGATGAAACAAGATTCAATTCAGTGAAGGCAAAAGAGTGATTTTGTTGGTGATGGTCATGGGGCTTGAACTCAGGGCCTAGGCACTGTCCCTGAGCTTTTTTGCTCAAGACTAACACTCTGCCACTTTGAGCCAGTTTTACTTCTGGTTTTCTGGTGCTTTAATGGAGATCAGAGTCTCACTGCCCAGGCTGGCTTTGAACTATGATCCTCAGATCTCAACCTCCTGAGTAGCTGGGATTACAGGTGTGAACCATCAGCACTTGGTTTAAACAAATAATTTTTATGCCTATAGTCTAATATTAATATGTTCAAATTTATACATTATAGTTTTTCACAACGAAGTATCTGCTTTTCAGTGAGATATATTCTCCATCTTTCTTGACTGGAAGTCCAAAGAATGGACTCCTTTATAATACTTATCAATTTACAAATAAAACTAGGCTTATTTTAATGTATATTAAGTATATTTTGCTTTGAATCTATTTTCCCTTTTACTAAATCACTAATTCCATATTATTAACTCCATATTTTTAATGTTTTTATTAAAAAACCATGCTAGGAAAATTGTGAGTTGGAAGCCAGCTTGAAAAAAAAAAGAAATCAGTTTGAATTACATAGCAAAACCCCAACTTCCCCCCAAATAAAAGCAAATGGTAAAATATGAAAGGGCTACATTATATATCCCTTGTATTTTTTGTCACACATATATGTTTAATGCATAAAATGAGAGGCAGAGAAATACGATTTAAAACAAAAAATTGAGTACCTCAGCTTCCACATTGCATAGATGTGATCAATTTGTCCCAACTGATCCATTTCCACTGAGATAGCAAACTCCAGGAAACTGAATTCAATTCTTCAGTCACCCAGAAAGGGATTCCAGATTGGAGAAAACTTTGGCATACCATGGTAATGAAGTATTTATAAAATATGCCCAGAGGAATTCAGTCTAAGGAGTTCAAGTTTTCTACATTATAAAGCTAGAGAACTGATGAACTTTGGAGGGCATCCTAGGAAGAAGTGGCAGAGCCCAGAGACAAAGAGATTCAGAGAAGTGGGAAATGTTTTAGAGAGAGAGGGAAAAATAGAGGAATTCAGGTAGAGAGGGGCAGTGGAAACAGCCATGAGGGAGTCCTACAGGGATAGTAGCCAGGGAACTGTTGGACAGCAACACCTAGTGTAGAACACTCAAACGCTGGGAGAAGTGGAAGAGAACTCAACAGAAGAACCAGAGAGGAATTAGGGGAAAGAAATCAAAGGCTGCAGAGTGTTTTATGAGAAGGTAAGAGATACCCTTAGATTCTTAGACTTAAATATCATCTGTGCACCAGTGAGTAGGAGAAGGAAAGCATTTCCCTCGCCCTCTTAGCCCCTCCAATGGAGAATGTGAAGAAATGTGAATTATGAATTTAAACTGACCAAAGACAGACAGAAGAAAGGCACACAAATTCTATTTGATGATGATGTTTTTACCATTCATGAAGGTAAACTGAAATCTCCTCATAGGCTTGTATGTTGAACACTTAGTCCCCAGCCGGTGATACCATTTGGGTGAGATTTTTAAAACTTTACTGGAGGGGGCCTAGCTGAAGGAAGTAGGTTATAAGGTACGCCTCTGATGTTATATCTGGTCTTCAATTCTTTCCTTGTGTCGGTTTCCTGTTTGCCATGAGGCCAGTAGCCTCCTCCACTACCTTTCTGCCACCATGTTCCACCCAAGTACATGGGGACAAGTGACCCTGGACTGACCTCTTTGGAACCATGAGCCAGTACAAATCACTATTCCCTTACGTTATTTTCTTCAACTATGGAATACAGAACACTGGTACCAGAGAGGCGTGATCATTGTCTGCTTAAAAACTCAGTGAGGGCAAAGATGCTGGCCTCTGAATCACTAGTATATACTGGAATGCCTAGAACAAGGACTGCCAATAAGCCCTCAATGGACATTGAATGAATAAATCTTTCTTGTTCTTAAAAAAAACAAAACAAAACAAAACTCTATTATAGTCTCAAATAAGTAATAGAGAAAGGAAGCAAGGCAGGGCTTCTTATTCAGGAGAGAAGTAACATTCCAAAGAAAGGAATGAGATTGCAAATTGAGAGGGAAATCAGAATAAGATTTCAGCAAAATGAGGGGGAAAACTCCTACCACCATCTAAGACGTAGATGCAGTGATGGGAAGAGGAATTGAGCTAAATGTAAGGGAGATGTAAAGAATTTTTTAAAAATAGCCATTATTCACACTGCTATACACAATAGGGACTCAGGGAAGGGTTTTAAACAAGGGAGTAGATGACCTGGAATGTATAGAAGGTACACGTGGGAGAACTATTAGGAAACTATTGCAGTAATTGTCATGTAGGTGACAAAGACCTAGTAAACGCAATAGCAATAGAAATGATGAGGAAGGAAAGAATTCCAAACATCTCAGTTGTAGAATCAGTAGGCCTGATGAGTGATAGAAAGACATGGTTGGAATATTTCTAATGTTTCTAGCATGAATAGCTGAAAGAATAATGATGTAATTATCAAGTTAAAAATTATATAGTGCCAGGAGAAATGGTGATTTAAGTTAGACAACCAGTGGGGTTATCCACAAAGAGCTGGCAATGAACATTGAGGTGGTATTTTGGAATGGAGCTTATAAACATGAAGGAGATTTCCAGAATGCACAAAGAAAAATGAAGAAAGAAGTTGAGAATGACAGCATGGTGGGCATTTTCTAGGATTTGGAGTGTGGAAGGAGTTCATAGCAATGATAGATTTCTTGTGGAAATGATGAATCATGACTTGGAAGAATTCTGGAAGGGAACGATGCATGTCCAAACCCCACGGATGTCTCTAGAGTGGGCCAGGACAGGGGTTCAGCATCCCTTCTCTAGAGCCAACCTGCCTCACTAACAATAATTAGGCCGTCTTCATCCCAAATCCTCAGTCCTCTTTTTTTTCCTTTCCATCTGACTGATCACAACACCCCTGGGTTCTCCCTGCCTTCTAGACTGAGGTGAGTTACGAGCAGCGGCTTGGAAATGGACTGGAAAGTCCGCCATGGTTCACGGGCGCTGTGCACCTTCCAGTGGTATCTCTGTGCCTCAGTTGCCTGGGTCTGCCCAACTTTTCAAAATGGAATTCCAAGACATTAAAGCGAGAGGAGATGAAGCCGGCCGTAAAAGAACACTAAACTAGAAGGACTGCCCCAGGTGGATTTCCAGGGATCCGCAGGCCCGGGCCACCCCTCGAGGGAAGGCCCCACCCCGAGGCCTGAGCGCGGCCTGCACGGCGGGGCCCGGGAATCTGCATTCCGGCGGCTTCACAGGTGATTCAGATGCTCGGTCAGGCTTGAGACTCGATGCCCTCGGGTTCCGCCAGCCACTTCTCCACTTCCTCCCGGCCCGCAGCCAGCTGGGCTCCAGGTCCCGCCACCTCCGAGGCCGGGAGCCGGGGTGCCGAGAGCGCGCCGCGAAGCCCCTCGAGCCCCTCGGCCGCCCGCTCCCCGTCCCCCCGCCCCGCCGCCGGCAGGTTACATAACGGGCCGCGCGCCGCGTTCTCGCGAGATTTCCGCCCGCGCCCCCCCTCCCCTTTCATTCCACGTCAGAAGGAACCGGGCGGAGCGGCCAACATGGCGGAACGCAGGCGACACAAGAAGCGGATCCAGGTAGCGAAGTCCACGCCGGGGGTAGGGGGCTCCGGCGCGTGCGGAAGTCCAAGAAGCGGGAAGAGCCCGCTGAGAGGCTGAGCGTGGGCGCGGGAGGGAGCGGGCACGGCT